GCCGGTTGGGTTCGAATTCCGCTCGTGACACTAACTTTTTCATTTCAACCACGACCTTAAATAAAAAGAATAATTAATTAGAAATAAGTAGAAATGTTAAAATAAAACAGATTTCCCTTCTCATAGAAATAAGTAGAAATGTTAAAATAAAACAGATTTTCCTTGTCATTTAAGAAATATACAGTTAAGTTCCGAAGCAGTAAGTACGAACATATTACAATTATCAAGATATGCAAACCATAAGAGAAAATTGGAAAATCAAAACCAAATTGAATTCCAAGCAAGATTTATTAAGTTATTTCCTGTGATTAAATTATAAATAGAAATGTTTTGACCAAATGAAATAAATATGAATTTATATAAGTTCATATAAATTGTCGAAATGTGGAAACTAACCAGTGAAATACATATACAGGGTGTTACAGGGTTAAATGTCAATACTGCCATGGTGGTTTCAGAAAATAAAATGTAGTTCAGTGCGATCAAAACGAGGTTTCTAGCTTGCCTGTTTCCTGTGATTTTAATCTGAAATCGGATTTTTTTGCATGCCATTTTAGATACAAATAATAAATGTTAGCATTAAAAATAGGACGTGTACCTTGGGTCTGATATCACGTTTTTCAACCATGCAAAAGATATTTCGCTAAGAAAAGTTCTAAAAAACGTAAAAGTGAGTACGCCCTTGGAATACTTAAAAAATAAGGCAACTTTGGAGAAATCCCCAAACATTTTTATGGAAAAGTGATTTCACGAGCCACCATTAAGTATTTTAACATTTGGTTTTGCCATTACGTATTCTTTGAGTAGCTACTATGTCTTCTGTCTGTACTTAAACGCGAATTTTTCGACAGAAATGTTATCTTGTGGAATTTAATATAGTTTGCGAAATAAAAATCAGTTTTGTATTTTAATAACACTAAAGTTGAGAATTTACGACATTATCTATTAAAAAAAAATCTGATTTTAGACTAAAATCTCAAAAATGTTAATATCTCATGAAATAATCACGGTAGAAACTTCGTTCTGGTGGCACTGGACTACGCTTTATTTAATGAATCTACCATGGCAGTATTGAAATTTAACCCAGATATACCCTGTAAAATTTAAATTAAGCCAATTAAATGACAAATTTATTTAGAAATCGTGAGATGCTGTCTGGTGTGATGTAGGTTTCTGAAAAACATTTTCTTTATCGTGCCAACGTTTCGATCTTTATTGAGATCATCTTCAGAGCTCAAAGTGTTTTTCTTCTGTGTAATTGTGCCATTCTTGCGTGTCGTGTCGAGAGTGCCCAAATAAAACAGTTGTTCATTGTTATTTCAAACAAACACAGTTTTGAACAAGCCATGAAACATTAATATAATAATACTGTCTAATTAGCGATAAAAGTACCGATTCGCCTTGAATTATAACATTATATTTTTAAAAAATTATTATTATTAATGGATACGAATACACAAAAAACTATATTATCGAATGTAGCTGGTATGTTTGATCTGATACCGTGACATCTCAAATTACGAATAGATGTTCATACTTTTTAACCTTTTAACTTTTTTTTTTAAGTGAAGTTTCAAGTCTGTATTTGGTAGTATTAAAAAACGATATAATAAAATGAAGCCAATCAACTAGAAAACACTCGGTTTCTTCGTCTAGCTTTCGAAGAATATATCCCCTGTATTGCAGTTTTAATTAATTATTTACGAGAACAACGAATATGCACATCTATTTATAATTTTAAAAATGGCTAAGTACGGTTATACGAGAGATGATTCTCGGAAAGCAATTTCATAGGAATGTCATAAAAAAAACTATATCCTAGAAAAGATGTGTGTTTTTATATGACGAATATTGATTACAACCAGCATCGGTTCAGTTGATCGGTTTTGATTATAAAAATAGCAACTAGGGGGCGTCGGTGACCGGTTTAGGCGTTGACACGGCGCTCATCCCTGAAAGGTAAAGGTCCGGGGTTCGAATCCAGCAGCCCTGCATTTGAACCCGACATAGAAATGGACTTTTTTTCAAAAACACCGGCACCCTGAGGGTTTATATGACCTATAATGTTGCGAACTCTCATAAAAAAGTAATAATAATTAATCTCTTCTAGTGCTTTCAACAAAAAAATGAAAATAGTAAGGTTTTTTTAATAACCTCAATCACATATCTATAACTGGGAGTAGTTATAAAAAAACCGATTTAAAAAAACACTAATAAGGTATTCACTAATTTCGTGGTCTGCTTGACCAATTAATATATTAAAATTAATTAAGGTTTTTAGTTGAGATAAAAAAGTCAATGGCACGAGCTATCGTGACCTCGATCCACTCAAAAGGTGGGGTTGAGATAGGAAGTTGGCGTCCGAGTGGATCGAGGTCACGATAGCTCAAGTGGTAGAGCAGCAACGTATCTAGCCGAAGGTCGAGGGTTCGAATCCCGCTCGTGCCATTGACTTTTTTATCTCAACTAAAAACCTTAATTAATACTAATAAGGAAGTTGGTTGGGGAGGTGACGATCTCTTGAGAATCTGGCTTAAGGGGGATACAAGCGATCCAGCCGCATAACGGGGTAGGTTAACTCCCGTGAGATATAGACTCTAGAGTCAGCAAATCGGGGCGTGACAACCCTTCGGAGTGAAAGTCCAAAAAGGTCTTAAATTCCGGCATAATTTTTTGCATTCAACTCCTCCGGAACACCGTTGTAGTTTGTACTTATATATCACAAAACATTGTCGTAAATGTAAATATTGTACAAAAAATAAAGCATTTTTGGGATGGATATTTAAACCAGGGGTGTTCGTTCAAATTAAAAGAAGGAAGAAAATAAGTATAACTTTTTCTAGATTTCCCGTCGTGATCAAACCTATTTCCTAACTTTAAATTTAAGCCTAAGTTTTCAACCCATATGGATGATGGTGATGTATCGGAAGAAAAGAATAACTTTTGGAGCACCACTTCATTGAATAACATCATCAACAACCCTCTTATCAAATCTGTTGTCAGTATGAAATTTACCAAATGTTCTAACATTTTTATCTTATTATCTTTATCTCTTATTAATTATATGAATATGAGAATTTATAAGCACTCAGTGACACTCGAAGGTCTCTTGCACATTTTTGCACGCGGGTATGGGTCTTAACGTATAAAACTGAATAATAAACTCACTAAAACCCTTTAATGAATATTTAAAAATTATCTAATTAAAAATAAATGAGTTTGTTAAAAAAAAACAAGATCTCGCAAAAATAAAGTGTAGGTAGTTTAATAAAGATACAGTTTTCTTGTTGTACGTACCACATGGTTATTTCCATAGTTATTTGTAATTAGAATATTATCGTTATTATGATTATTACTAATATAAAAAAGATAGACGTATTTTTGCGCAAATGGCATCATTTCAAATTAAGGGACGGATTTCGTGCCTTATTGGCTCAGCTAACCTCTCGCTTGCAAGTTACCTTCTTCGACATACGTCCAATGAATTACCTCGGGCATTTCTGCAGGATCAGCCTTCAAATGATCCCAGAAAAACAACGACACGTGCAGGTTTTTAGCGAATACCGAAAAGTTTTATTTGTCAGGATGAGTTGATGAGTTCGTCCTGTTGTTTAAGTCACACCACCAAACGTTACACCTTGTATCTTCAAGGCTTGTTCTTATTTAAGGTTCTGAACTTAAGCCTTCTGTGACATACAACAAGCGACAGAAAAATTTTCTTTATTACAAATAAATGGTGCTAGCTAAAATAAGAAACTACCAACACCAAAACAAGCAAGCTGTAGAACCAACACCATATCCAGTAATTTGTAAGGCTCGCACAGCCTCCTAAATTAATGAATTAATATCCATTTGTTCTACAAATTCGAACACATGATGGGCCAGTGAATGTAAGAAGACAGAAAAAGTGAAATATCTCTGAAATATTGGCTGTATTCGATTCTATTGTTTTAGGTATATATTATGTTTCTTTTGGATATACAATTCTATGGTTAATAAAATACTACCGTTTTAGCAATTTACGTCATTTAACTGCAGTTACATGTATACATAATTTTACAATGCTATGAAACTAATCCTGGCTCTATGTAATTCTTTTTATTTACTTCACCAGAATTTTTTTTAAATTTTTTAATGAATTTTGGAGTATGGACACAAAAGTTTACTGAAAATTTGTTGTACAACCGCAATTATTTTTTTTATTCGTACCAATCATAGATTCTAAGAGATTAGTTGATACCGAAGAAGATTTTTGATACATTTATTTAAATAATGTACGTACGGGTATGTCTTCGCTCGTGGGTTGTTCATTACTCAAATGCTTCGTGGAGTGAGATACTCACTGAAGATGGCGCAATGCCGAAACGCGTTTGAGTAGTTCAACAAACCCGCGTGTGAAGACGGACCCAAAAATTGCCCCAACGCCAATACCGATTCGCAGATGAACATTCAACATCAACTCAAACAGGAAAGTATCATGGAAAGAAGCTTAATTCTTCAACGCGGCAATTTATTTAGAACGCACGAAAATCGAGAAGTATCGATCTTAAAAAAGCCGGGCTCTATCAAACGTACCTTTTAAAAGTTTCAGTATAACAAAATATACACATGCAGGTGTGCAAGAATCTTATGAAAATACTTGTGTAAGAGGCTTTACTGTATCAAGACTGAATTTATTAAAAGCAAATTAAACGAGTAACCATTCACCCTGTCACTTCACAAAGAGTTTAAGCCTTTCAATTCAATCTTATAAGTTTCCCGAGGAGCGGCAAACCTCCTTAAAAGTTGTTAAGCTAAGTGAAGCGCCCAAACACTTGAAACTTCAACCAACCATCTGCCAGTCCTCGCTTCCTGTATTTTAAATAAAGTGCATCGATTAGTGAAAATGATAACGCTAGATAGTTTGTAAATTTAATAAGGACTGAAGATTTATAAACAAGGAGGAAAGATTTCACATCTTCAAACACACTCAAGCAACATTTAATTATTAATGCATTAACCTTTGATTTGTGATCTTCGTCTTCCTCTGATTCTTCCTATGAAAAAGAAATAACCAATTAAAATTTCAATAAACGAATAATTATATTACATGCACAAAATAAACCCAATACTATTTTATACAACGAGAAAATAAATCCAAAGTGTTTCTCATGTCACTAATTCATAATTTTATTAACCAAATACCATCTAATATCACCTCGCATAAAAACAAACCAGTATTTAGAACTAATTTTAAACCAAACGTAAAAACAATGCGGTTATTTGTAACACACGAAAAATATAAACCTTTTCGCTTTTTTTAGATTCTTCCTCTTCTTCGCTGGATTCTTCCTAAAAAAACGGTATATATGTCAATTTGTGTAGCAAACCTTTACGTTAACAAAATAAGAACATTACAAATAAACACTCGATATGAAAAATTGTTCATACCAATTTAAAAAATAAAATAGAATACGCTGCTGAATATTTTCGACATACCGCAGAAATGAAGTAATTTGTTGTGTAGAAAAATATATTTTTAAACGCGATCCATTTTTTTTTTACTACCCCAGTGTCATTATCACATTCCTGACATTCCATAGGAGACCCCGCGGCCATCGGCTCTTTAGGCGGGCGGAGGGTTTGAGAAATATACATCGGGTGGAATATTTGAATTTGAGAGATTTATGGTGGTAGAGAACATTTCGGACGAAAGCAATATTTAGATTTTTATGGGTGGTTTTGTTTGACACACAGAATGGAATATCAAGGCATTTCTGAGGATTGAGCAGTTTGGACACGAAGGATATCGGAATGCTTGGCTGAACCTTGCTCTTCCAATCCGTAAGACCTTAAATGTTTCACTAAGGTCTTATAAAGGAGCTTGAAAAGTTTAAAGAATTTTATGTCTTGTTGCAACGATGCAATATTGACGCTAGCTTTCCCCTCTACTACGAGACCAAAAGGCCGTTACAAATGATAGTGGCAGAAAATTCACCAGTGGTTTTGATTTTGCAGAAAAAGTTTTAAAGGTAGGCAATTTATGTTACTATAGTTTGACCGTTTACGATCATTTAGGTCTGCACATCGCCGGTGTGTGCTTGCTTCTCCCTATTTAAAACCGAGACCGTTTGAGTTTGTTCCTAATCACCCTCACAATTTAAAATAATTATTGAGAAATCGTGAGATGCGGTCTGGTGTGATGTAGGTTTCAGAAAAACATTTTCTTTATCGTGCCAACGTTTCGATCTTTATTGAGATCATCTTCATCGCCTGGGATTTACAAACATTGCTTACATTTAACAAATACATTTAGGATGTGGAAAAGTGAATTTATACAATGCAAAATATATTTTTTATATATTCAATCAAAGTATTTCTACTCACTCAAAGTGTTTGTCTTCTGTGCAATTGTGCCATTCTTGCGTGTCGTGTCGAGAATGACAGTGAGATTTTGCTATTTTGTGTTTATATACGTTGGATTTTCAAGGGGTGGGGAAGGATGTCGGTATAGAAAAGACAAGGGAAAAAAACGCTGGTAATGGTTCGGCCAGATTATCCTTTCAGGATTATATAGAAAGGGATAAATAGGAAAAGGAAAGCTAAATTGTTGGACAATTAGACTATGAAAAATATTTATGTGTGGAATGTCATGTAATGATATATGTGATATAGCGTGTCTCTTCTTTTTTTGTTGGGCCCAACCCTGATTTCGGAAAACCGAGATCAAGGTCCCAGAGGTTTTTTACGATCGGACCTGACTACGATTATTTCATTTATCGATCAGGCACCTTTTATATTTCATTTAAACCAAAGTAAATACGACACCAAATGTTTCTTAAATTTGAATCTTTAATTACAATTTATTTTCACATAAAATGACAATATGTTTTATTAATTATTATTTTTAATTTAAAGAATCCTTTTATACAATAACCTATCTCAAATCTACAAACCTTAATTTTAAAATGGAATTTGATTCTCGGTTGAAAGATTATTATTATTATTATTAAAATTTTGACCTCCAAATTAGAAAATACAATTAAAATATTAACAACTTTTAAAATGAAATATTATTTCTTTTACTCTTCTTTATAAAAATATATATCCTTTTAAAATTAAATTACAATTATTATTTTTTATTTTGACGTCAAAGTAATAAAATTAACTTACTTGAATAGTGTGCACACCAAATTTTTATTTTTACCAAAAAATAGCTGTTTACCCACACAAGCCAGAAAGGGATCTGTTCTAGAACTTGAAAAAAATAGCCCTTTCTTGGCCCCTACTCCTATCACTGTTTGAGTGTGTGGAGGGGCATGTGGGTTCATTTAAATCTGAACGTGACATATGTATGTTATCTGTATTGAATTTGATTAATGATATTGGCGTAGCTGCGACTGAGTTTATATGTATCTGTTCTGTCATTGATGCTGTGTTTATCTCTGTTGATATAAACCATTTCTATGAAATTACGTTTATGTTTGTTTTGTTCTGTATGTAATATTTTTGGATTTTTGAAGTCGAAATTGTGTTGGTGTTCCAGATGGTGGGTAGCGAGTGCTGTAGGATTTTGCTTGGGTTTTTTGCAATCATAGATATGTTGCTTTACTCTCTTGTCCAGATATTGGGATGTAAGACCGATGTAAGTTGCCGGACAGTTTCAACAGTTGATCTTGTAGATTACGTCAGATTTATTTGTTATTGGTGTGGGTTTTTTAATTTTGGAAAAAAGTGTTTGGATTGTTTTATAATTTTTGAAAGCTATTTTGAAGTTATCGGACAAGAGAAATGTGTTTAATTTATGTGATAGGCCTTGGATAAATGGTATGGAAATGTATGCTGATTTGTTTGTAATCGATAGACTTAATGTAGTATAGTAGTAGTATATAGTAATAGTGGATAGTGTTAGTTAGTGTTGAGTTGTAATTGTTGATTAATCTGTTAATTATGTGTTTAGGGTAGAGATTGTTATGGAGGATCTGTTTGTATATCTTTATGTTCTTGTGATGAAATGATTCATGGCTCAGGGTAATCATTCTGTGAAGTAACCCTTTGGCCGTGTTTATTATTGTATGGAAGAGCATGGTGAGATGTAAAGTTGAGGTAGCGATCTGTGTTTCTTGGTTTTTGATACCAATCTGTGATTAATGTGCCATCTGGTTGTTTTATTACGCCTGTATCTAAAAATGGTATTTTTAGGTTGTTTTCGATTTCATGTGTAAATTGTAGGCGTGGGTGAAAGCTATTAAATGCATCTAATGTAGTTTGAATTTGATCTGTGGGAACTGCTGTCAATATATCATCTACGTATTTAGTGAGGAAGGGTAATGTGAAAGGAAGTGTGGTATGACTGTATTAAATAGATGTGTCGTGATTATGTCTGCCAGTATGGGGCCTAGGTTGCTACCCTTGGCTATACCAAATAGTTGTTTGTAAAATTGATTGTCGTATGTAAAATATCCGTTAACACAGCAGTGTCGGATCATTGTTACGAACGTCTTTTTTGATAGAGTTGTGTGTGGTGTTATGTTGGACCATTTATCTTTAATAATGTTCAGTGTTGTGTCTATTGGTATGTTGGTAATCACCACACAATTTAAAATGTCTCGTTTTTATAACTGTTCATATTTCACAAATTTATAAAACGCGACTCGTTTAAAAACAATTTTCCATGACCCATTACTGAAGATGAAGGAATGCGTCTGACCGACCAAAACAGCAAGGATAGGTAGGTAAAACTTTTCGGTATCATAAACTATGCCACAGAATTTATCACGAATCTATTTTATTTGTCGAAAAATCGCCCTGAATTTAGTTTACACTGCTGACATTGATTACCTTCGCAAGAAGAAATGTGGAGAAAAAAATTGACGGAAACAATAATTGGAAAAGAACTCATTTTGATAAAAGTGATGTTAGGATATAATTTTTTGATGGTGTCCATCCTGATTTTGTGAAATTCCATAATAATATGATTGGTAGGAAAAGATTATTTAATTCCTACCCTATCTTAGGATATAATGAATAAACATTATAAAAAATAATCTTCCTGGACTATTTTTTTTAAAAACTAAATCAATTTTATAGAAAACTCGTTCAGGAAAATAAAGCACCAATCCCTTCACAAGTCATTAAAAAAATATACACGAACGAAAATAATCATAGATGGTTCAAGTTCAAGATTATGGAGGCTAGGGGAGAAATGCTGATTATAAATTCACTAATTTCGTGGTCCGCTTGACCAATTAACATATTACAATTAATCAAGGTTTCTAGTTGAGATAAAAAAGTCAATGGCACGAGCGGGATTCGAACCCACGATCTTCGGCTTAATACGCCGCTGCTCTACCATTTGAGCTATCGTGAGCTCGATCCACTCGGACATCAACTTCCCATCTCAACCGCACCTTGTGAATTTTCCCTCCTTTTTGCCATTTTTTTAATCTCAACTAGAAACCTTGATTAAATGGCAAAAAGGAGGGAAAATTCATAAGGTGCGGTTGAGATGGGAAGTTGATGTCCGAGTGGATCGAGGTCACGATAGCTCAAGTGGTAGAACAGCGGCGTATCAAGCCGAAGATCGTGGGTTCGAATCCCGCTCGTGCGATTGACTTTTTTATCTCAACTAGAAACCTTGATTAGCTGATTATAAACATATCACAACAGGGATAAATATGAAGTTTTGAGTGGGGGTCCTCACCCTACCGACAAATTACAAAATATTAATAACAAATTGATAAATAAACTAGTTAATGTAATGTTAATTTCTAAAGAAAAAGGTTCCATCCTTAAGACATATACAGCTGTTCCACCCAAGATTTATGGATTTCCAAAAGTCCACAAACTGGACGTTCCTTTACAGCCTATTGTCTCATGCATTCAGGCTCCCTCTTATAATTTATCAAAATGGGTACATGAGGTGTTGTCGGTCTTGACGGTTGGTAATGAGTTTAATGTAAAAAATTCACTTGACGTGAAACAAAAACTTGAAAATTTAAGAGTGACAGAGGATGAGGTTATTGTTTCTTTTGATGTGGAATCATTATTTACGTCGGTGCCATTAAGTCTTATCACGTATATTGTACGTGTAAAAAATGGGGTGAGCTGGAGAGTTGCTTCCCAGTTCTACGTACTGAGATATTTGTGGAGGCGTTGGAGTTCACGTCCATGAATGGCTACTTTAAATATGGAGATGATATATATAAGCAGAAGGATGGTGTTGCCATGGGAGGTGTTTTATCCCCAATTCCTGCTGATCTGGTAATGACTGATTTGTAGAGTGGTTGTTGCTCCAACTCCCTTACAATATAAAATTCTTAATTAAGTACGTGGATGACCTTCTGGCAATT